CCTCCCGGGGGCCAGTCCCTGCTGCTGACCCAGAGCCCCACGCCCGCGCTGGGGGCCGTGGTGACCCAGCCCCTGCTGCGGCCGGTGCAGATCATGCAGAACGCCAACCACGTGCCCACCCCCCCCGTGACCAGCCAGCCCATCTTCATCACCACCCAGGTGAGCTCCAGGAGCTGGGAAATCCCGGGAAAAGCAGCGGGAATGATCCAGTTTCCTCGTGTGGTTTGAGGGACGTCGCGCCAAGAACCCTCGGGGGGTTTGGGGTTGGCCAATGCTTGGGTTGGTTGGACCAACTTGGTCAACAAGGAGGGGTTTGGGAGGGAGGAGGTTTGGGGAGAAAGAAGATCTTTGGAGGAGAAGGTTTGGGGAAAAATGAAATTTTTGAAGGAGGAGGTTTTGGGGAAAAGGAGATTTTTGAAGGAGGAGGTTTTGGGGAAAAGGAGATTTTTGAAGGAGAAGGTTTGGGGAAAAAGGAAATTTTTGAAGGAGGAGATTTTGGGGAAAAGGAAGTTTTTGAAGGAGGAAGTTTTGGAAAAAAGGAGAGTGTTGAAGGAGGAGGTTTTGGGAAAAAGGAGGTTTTTGGAGGAGGAAGTTTTAGGAAAAAGGAGAGTTTTGAAGGAGGAGGTTTTGGGAAAAAGGAAGTTTTTGAAGGAGGAAGTTTTGGAAAAAAGGAGAGTGTTGAAAGAGGAGGTTTTGGGGAAAAAAGGAGGTTTTTGAAGGAGGAGGATTTTTCAGGGAGAAGGTTTTTGGGTGCTTTGGGCACAGGGATGAGCAGAGGCTGTTTGTGGGATGTTGCCAAGTGTAAGGAAGACACCTCACAGCCCAACTCTCCTCTGGGTGCTGACACTGTGGGGTGGGTTGTTTTTACCCATTTATTGGCTTTTTGGGGTGTAAAACTTGGGATTGGGAATGCTCTGTGTGGTAAGGGGGCTGTTGGATCCCAGGGGTTTCCCGTGAGGAACGTGAGGCCCGTCCAGAACACCATGAACCAGGTGGGGATCGTGCTCAACGTCCAGCAAGGGCAGACAGTGAGACCCATCACCCTCGTGCCAGGTAAGGGCTCCTTTTTGGGGCTAAACCCACCAAAAATGACATTTCCAACTCGTGTTTCCCAGGGGGAATTTTTAATAACACTCCTTTCTGCTGTGGAACCTCTGAAGGACCAAACTCGTGGTCACTGTCCCCAAAAATGAGTCTCCAAAGCCTCCTGTCCAAATGAATTTGGAGCTGGAGGATCCCCTGAGTTTCCATCCCTGGGAAAAGCTGGGAATGCAGGGATCTGCATCCAAAGCCAGGCTGAGTCTGCTTGGGAAGGGAAAGGAAAACTCCCACTGGGAATTCTGGGAGCTCAGCAGAGGTGGGAGGAGGGTTGTGCTGGGTTGTTCCTGGGCAGGGAATGGGCTTGGGTTAGTTGGGCCAGGCCTGGGATGGGATTAATTGATCCAGGCCTGGGATGGGATGAGTTGATCCAGGCCTGGGATGGGATGAGTTGATCCAGGCCTGGGATGGGATGAGTTGATCCAGGTCTGGGATGGGATTCTTGATGCAGGCTTGGGATGGGGTTCCTGTTGCAGGCCTGGGCTGAGATCACTGGTCTAGGCCTGGGCTGGGATTTCTGATCTAGGCTTGGGCTGGGATTCCTGTGCAGGCCTGGGCTGGGATTTCTGGTCTAGGCCTGGGCTGGGATCCCTGATCTAGGCCTGGGCTGAGGTTCC